AAAAAAAAAAAAATAGATTAAGATTATAACATTTTTGGTCCACCTGACAAATTAAATGCTTCCATTACTTTAATCAACTGCTCTTTATTTGATGCTTTGTGTGCACAGCACAGTAAGGAGTTGCCCAACCCAGCAAGCCAGGCCCTTCTTCATCACCCTTAGTTAAGGTAGTCACCTTTTACCTAACCCTCTTTCTCCAACCATTCTCTATAGGCCCCAGCATAGTGTCGAGCCCTGTGGAGACAAAGAGAGGTGAAGGAGGGACAGGCCATAGGCCAGTCCCAGTCATCTCCCAGCCACAAGTCACACCTTCCCTTACCCTGTGTATCCGAGGCTTCGAGCCAGCTGCGTGGCCTGGAAGCCCCGCTTGCCTATCTGACAGAAGAAAACAACGTTCTCATCATCCAGCTTTGGCTTCTCGGTGGAGTACAAAGCCTGGAAAGCAGCTGGCTCCATCTGCAGGGCACTTTCCAACTCGGACACTGGGAGTTGTTGAGAAGACAGAATGGAGAGAGGGCAGTTTGGCGTTCTCAGGTATAGAAGTTAAGCCTGGAAGGGCTAGATCCTGGCGAAACAAAGCTACTCTCCCCAACCCAGGCTCAAGGACAAGAAACTGCCTTCTTCCACAGGGAGTCAGCCAGACAACCTTTGGATATCAGCCACTTCCTGAGTCAGTAGCTGGCAGGGTGGAGGCAGAGGCAGAATGGCCGCCTCAGGCAGCCAGCCTCCGCGAGGTCAAGCTCAGGGAAGCTGCCCTGCCCCTCTCCCCGCCGCCTGCTATCCCCTCCCTCAAACTGGATGGGCCAGTTCCGCTGCCAGGATCAGTCTGCAGTCAGTGCTCCGAAATGTGGGACCCTGGTAACCACTGCCTTTCTCAAGTCATCCTAGGTGAAGTCCCATTAGCTAAGGCCCTCCTGGATTGTCTGTACTCCACCTCCGGGTGCCCCCCTTCAATCCCATACCCGGGATGTTGAGAGCTCCGGGGATGGTCCCTGCTGCCGCTTCCTCCCGAGATCGCACGTCGAAGAGCCGGACCCGGCCCGAGGCTAGGAGCAAACGGAGTTCGGGGAGCGAGACCGTGGGCACTGAGGAAGAGGCACGAGAGCCGTTAGGGGAGGAGGTCCCAGGCACCGCTGCCAAGGCGCCCCTCACCTGGCAGCGCCCCAACCCGGAGGGGGCGTGCACAGTGACTCCCCTTTGCTCCTCTCGCATACACATCAACCCAGGGGCAATGTGTACGACAGAACTAGATCCCAGTTCTCCCTTGCAGGTACCTCCAGCCATAGTGCACGCAACAGCGATTCGCCGGAACGCAGTCCCAGCCCGCACTCTCCGCTGGTGCAGCATCAGCCCTTCCCTCCCTCCCGCAGCCGAGACCGGAAACGGAAGCGAAGGCAGGCCTCCCGCACCGCCCGGGCAGCACCTGTTTGTAGTGCCTCTAACACCAGGAGACTGGAGAGAAATCCTCACGATTGCCCAGCAGGGCGGGAAACCACACCAGTCCGGCCCAGGTACCAGGACTCAGGGTAACGAGCACAGGAACAGCGCCCCACCCTAAACCCAGCCCAGCACTTAGTGGTCCCTAAGAGCAGCGTGACCCCTCCCCTCTCCCTGGGGCCCACAAAAGGAGGAAAAATAAGACAATAAGACAACTGTGGCTCTGAACAATTTTATCTTAAAAAAAAAAAAAAAAAGGAAAGAAAGGAAGAAAAAAAAAAAAACACCCCACAAGGGGTAAGGCCCCAAGTGGGCCCCTGCCTGTTGTTCTCCCTGGCTCCAAAGACTTCTTCTGCATAAGCCTTAGCTGCTGGCTGGCCGATCTCCTCTTCACACGGCCGCAGCCACTGCTAAGCATCCTTCCCCCCACTTCTTGCTTAAGCCTGCTCCTGAGTTGCCAGGTACATGACTAAACCTCAGCTCCAGGGAAAGGAAGAACCCACGGCAGTGCCGGCATCCTGAGGCAAGGCAGAACATCGCCCATCAGCAGATCCTCTGCTGGGCACCCTAACAAGCACAGGGCAAGCCCCCGGTTTAGTGTGTCCAGTGTCCAGCATGGAGACAGCACATGCGCTGTGCAAGAGGAACACAAGGGCCCCAGGGCTGCATGGTGGGGGTGGGCAATTCTGTCAGCGCACATCCACATTGTGTTTCACACCATTGCAGGCTGCCGTATCACAGGGCTTCAGTTCAAAGAAACACCTGCTGAACTCCCCCCAGTCCCATGCCAGAAGTGGGCAGTGAAGGAAAGGAGCGTGGGGTTAGGCTGTTACTCCTGGGCTATCTGCAGTTCTTGGGCCCAAAGCCCTTGAATTCCCATAGCTAGTTGCTGTCATTCTTGATGACGACCTCTAATCCATGGTGTCGCAACTGAGCTCGTAGCAGCAGATTCTTGTTTTTAAGATCTTCCACCTGATGTGGGAAGGAGACAGTAAAAGGAAAGGGGAGAAAAGTTGGCATTGCCAAGACCCCAGACTTCCTCAGACATCTACTGGTGAGGATGAAAAGGTGAAGCCCCCTCTATGGAGAACAAAACAGAGTCCTGAACTGGGCTAGTGACTACAGAAGTTGAGGTAGGCTATACCCAGGTGGGAGTCTGACCTGCTGTCGAAGCACATCATTGTCCAGCTGCAGTTGGTCAAGCCCCTGCAGTTCTTCAGACAATCGGTGATTACTCTGCCGAAGCTCCTGAATATAATCACAAGCTTTGGATAGAATCCCACCTTTACTCTGTAAGACAAGACCAACAGAATGAGGACTAGAATTTAAGCTAGCTAGCTTCAGGCCGGGCACGGTGGTTTATGTCTATAATCCCAGCAGTCTGGGAGGCCAAGGCGGGCAGATTGCTGTAGCTCAGGAGTTGGAGACCAGCCTAAGCAAGAGTGACACCCCATCTCTAAAAATAGCTGGGCGTTGTGGCAGGCACTCATAGTCCCAGCTACTCAGGAGGCTGAGGCAAGAGAATCACTTGATCCCAAGAGTTTGTGGTCACTGTGAGCTATAATGCAATGGCACTCAACCCCTGGGTGACTGAATGAGACTGTTTCCAAAAAAACCGAATAGCTAGCTTCACACTTTGGACCTTATTCTCCCCCTAAGGATGGTGACATAACATTTCCAAGGGATACAGAAAAGTTAAGAAAAGTCTACTGCTGTTTCACTACCACTTCTGGAAACAATACCAGGAGACAGAATTCAGGCATCCTGCCTACTACCAGGGTCAGACCTGGCCAGACTTGGTGCTCTCCATAGAGCAGTCTGGGATGATCTTGGACAGCTGCACGATCCAGTTGTTGATCTTGTCACGGCGGCGACGCTCCACTGTGGAGCAAAATGGAGGACAAGGTAACTCAAACTCACTACAAGCCCCAGGGTAAAATTGCCTAACTCCTCCCCTCAGACATCACTGCTGACTCCATCCCACCAGACAGCTCCTAGCTTCACACCTGTGCCTACCTTCATTATGCTGAGCCCTGCGTTTCTCATCCCGAGTTGTCCTGGGAGCCTCTGACTTCCTGACAACAGAGCCCCAGGGTAGCCAGAGTGAGGGATGGACAAAAAATAAGATTAGAATGTGGGGTAAGAAATTATATAAGATTTAGCAGGCATTAAGACCACTCATATAAATTAAGAAACAAGGGTCACTCACGGGGAATAAGGGTGAGTCCTAGGGGCAATTGAGCGTTGGCTTCCTCCCTGCAATACTTCTTGTGGTGACATCATGACAAAAAATTGACCTGTGAAGATGCAGGGTAGGTTCTGTCAAAGCATGTGATTAAGAACCTCACTGAGGCCTAAGGCAAAGACCCTGGACCCCTTCTCTAAAAAGAATGTGTTTCACTGGCAACTGTAGCTCAGTGGGTAGGGTGCCAGCCACATACACTGGGGATGGCAGGTCGAACCCAGCCAGGGCCTACTAAAACAACAATGACAACTGCAACAAAAAAAATAAATAGCCAGGCATTGTGGCGGGCACCTGTAGTCCCAGCTACTTGGGAGTCTGAGGCAAGAGAATCACTCAAGCCCAAGAGTGTGAGGTTGCTATGAGCTGTGATGCCACAGCACTCTACCCAGGGCCACAACTTGAGACTCTGTCTCCAAAAAAAAAAAAAAAAAAAAGTTTCTCTTGCTAGAAAGAGAACCCCAGACTCACAACCTGCCAGGTCATGTCCCACAGCCTACCCTAGTCCCTCCAGACAGCATTCTCATGTAATGTCTCACCAGTTCCAGGAGGGGTTGCTTGTCCCAGTAGTGCCTCTGAGCCCTGGGTAGTAACAACAGCAGCTGTACTCCCTGATGTGGTACCCCCTGCCCCATCTCCCACTGCAGTGCTGGGGAAGTAAGTATAGTGTGTCTCAGCAGCTGTCCCCTCTGTGTCAACTGCATCATCGCTGGTGAAAGCACCCTGGATCACTGCCTGGGAAGGGGAGCAAGAGAACCGAGTCCATGGTGTTAGATAATTCTTCCCACTACACCAGTCTGAAATTTCTATTCAAAAAGGTAGAATCTAGTGCCTTAAGACAAGGAAGCCCTAGGTATCTCACTGTTCCCAGCTTTATCCCCGTCCTATTGGTTCCCTTCTTCTTACTTCTCAGAGTTCTAGTCTCCTCCCTAGCCCGTACCCCTGTACCTGGGTCATGGATTGTGTAGCAGGGTAGCCACTGATGGCACCAGTACCCTCAGTCTGGCCATCCAGCTGCCCCTCGGACACCTGGATCACCCTGTACATCACCTGGAAGCAGAGAGGAAGGGGGTGGGGTGGGGAGGGAAGGGAATAAAGAAAATAAGTGCTGTGAATTCCAGTCATAAAACTGAGCCCTTGGATACAGCCCCAAAACAAGAGCCCTTCAGAGACACAAATTTAGCCATTGTCCCTTCTTTCCCAATACAGGCCATTTAGCACACTACTACTTGACACTCGGCACACTACTACTTGACACCAAAGCTTATATCAGTGTACACCCCCACCCCCAAGGTAGTTCACATTTTCACCTCATCTTCCAAGTCAAGTATCCCCCCCAGAACATGATCCATTACCTCCCTCAATCCCAATCCCATATATAACCTGTAGCCACCTGGCTCCCTCCCTTACCTGGCCCCCATTCTCAGTTCGGAAGACGTACTTGACGTTGGGGTCAGGGAAGGTGGCAGCTGACTGGATGCTGGCAATAGCCACACTGGTTGGGTCCTCCCCAGTAGCCACTGCACCTAAATTAAAGGAGCAAAGGAAAAGTCTGAGTTAACTGTCTTTCTTCTTCTTTTCCACTGGCATGCCACTGGAGGAGGAGGATGCATAGGAGATGGCCTGGTAGGGGAGGAAAGAGGGTCATGATGGCTTGGTGTTGGTTCTAACACTCACCTTCCTGAATCTGCACTGTCCCCTCCTCAGTTTCAGCTGTTTTCTGCTGCCTGTTTGTGGTGAAAGGACAGAAGAAAGAATAAGAGAAGAAATGAAATGTGTGAGCTCACAGGTCCAATAACATATGGTTACCAAACTCATTGCCATTCCCAACAAGTGCCAGGTTAGGTTAAAATAACAATAACTGGCCAGGCCCGGTGGCTCCCGCCTGTAATCCTAGCACTTTGGGAGGCTGAGGTGGGTGGATTGCTAGAGTTCAGGAGTTCAAGACCAGGGTGGCGCCTGTGGCTCAGTGAGTAGTGCACCAGCCCCATATATCAAGGGTGGTAGGTTCAAGCCCAGCTCCAGCCAAACTGCAACAAAAAATAGCCAGGCATTGTGGCAAGTGCCTGTGGTCCCAGCTACTTAGGAGACTGAGGCAAGAGAACTGCCTAAGCCCAGGAGTTGGAGATTGCTATGAGCTGTGATGCCACAGCACTCTACCAAGAGCGAAAAATAAAACTCTTCCTCTTAAAAAAAAAAAAAAAAAAGGCCAGCCTGAGTTAGAGTGAGACTCCAAGAGTGGTGCTCTTGGCCATTCTGCATTCTCCCAGCCCACCTGTCTTTCATCAGGACCCTACTTCTTCACTTACCCCTTCATCTCTCTGTGAGGGGGCACATCCGAGGAATTGGTTCTTTTGGGGGAGTCTTGGTATCTCCTGATGCACAGGCCTGAGTGCTAAGTCCTGGTAGAAATCACAGAGTTTGCAGTGAGCCTAGGAAATAGAACGGTCTCTCTGGTTCTAGAATTTAGGCTCCATGAAGACACAGTCAGGAAATAACCCAATCCTCTCCAGGGGACAATCAGCTTCTCCCATTCTGATGCCTGAAGACTGTACTAGAGTGATTGAAAAAGTAACTCTATAAATGGTATTCCCTATCACTCCAACTCCTGGTAAAGAGGGGATAATTACACTGAAAAACAGAACATATTTCTGGATGGATTATTCTTAAAGCTACTACTATGACCTGCTATGATCGTAGCTTCATGGAAATTAGGAAGGGCCATATATAGATCACCACTATCAAAAAATACAGAACTGGCTCAGTGCCGGTAGCACAGTGGTTATGGCTCCAGCCACGTGCACGGAAGCTGGCAGGTTCAAGCCCAGCCCAGGCCAGCTAAAACATGACAACTGCAACAAGAAAATAGCCGAGCACTGTGGCAGGCGCCTGTAGTACCAGCTACTTGGGAGGCTGCGGCAAGAGAATCACTTGAGCCCAAGAGTTAGAGGTTGCTGTGAGCTGTGGCACCACTGCACTCTACCAAGTGCAGCGACACAGTCTAAAAAATAGAGAGAGATAGAGAGAGAGAAAGTGTCATAGGCACTGATGCTTCTTTCTGCTTCTCAGCCACCTACTGTACACCAAGAAATTTCTGTTCTCAAATCTAGGAAGGAGAAATCTGAAGCCCATTACCTCTGGAAAAACTTCCCTAACCACAATGTCTAGACTTGGCCCTGGGGTCCCATTATACTGACAGGGCTCTTGTTTGGGGGGTTGTCTAGGTTTATATAATCTGTTAGAGACTCTAAAGGCCAAGTGTATCATCTTCAAGCCCTCCCTGTTTTATTAACCAAGGCTTCCTGTAGAATGACACAGTTGCTAAAATGTTGCTATGACAACTCCAAACCAACTGAGACTCAGCAAGAAAGGAAAAAACTCCAAGCCCAGGGTTTTGAAGGCAAAGAGACAATGGGGGAGGAATCCATCTACAAGGTGCCTGCCACAGGACCCTGACATCCAGCCAGAGACGGGGAAAACAAAGGGCTAAGCCGACGGACGCCTCCAGAAAAAAACAACGACACAGTTAAGTACAAAGCAATAAGATAATCCCAACACGAAAAGAGCGACATTGTTATAATTCTCTACCCATAAGAGTCTCCAAGCCTTTTCTACTCGGAAGATAAGCCGGTAAAGCCTACGTCCAAAAAAAAGTGTTATTTAACACACACACACAAAAGGGCTAAGGGGACTGAAAGTGAAACTGTCCAGAGGAAGTAGCGCCGCGAGGAGATCCCAGTTCAAAAGGGGAAGTAGCCCTAGTGTTTTGGGACCACCTACGTCTCCATCCTCAAACCTGAGGGGGAAGTGCCCCTTCCAGGCTGGCTGCACTGACTGCGGGAGGAGGCAATGAAAGAGAGGGCAGGGCACCGGAGGCGTCTCTATTGGCCACAGCTGTCAGCCACGGGCAGCCTCTGAGAACGCCAGGCAATGGAGTCAGGCTACTTAATCAAATCTTCGTCGGGCATCAGGAAGCATTTCCTGAGCATTAAGGATATGTGACAAGGAAACCGGGATGGGATGTTGTGGCGAGCACGCTCAGGCGAGGAGGGCCCAGTTAGGAGCTCTCGCTAAGTCTAGACACAAAAGAATCAAGTTCCGAAAGAAGTCAGGCGCCCAGACCCGGCGGGAGGCTGCGGCATCTCCCAGCAGGCCCACCAACCAGTATGCGCCCACGGAGCCGAGCGCCCACCAGGCGCGAGCCAGAAAGCCGGCGCCGGGACCCCACAGCCCCGCCGCGCTCGCCCCGCGCCCCAGCTGCGCCGCAGAGCAGGCAGGCAGGGAGTCCAGAGCTCGGGGGCCTAGAGTCTGCAGCTGGGGCCCGGGGCCAGATAGCTCAGGAGGGGCCGCGGAGACGTGCGCGTTCGGGGACTGAGAGAGAGTTCGGCCCACAAAGCGGGGTAGGAAATAAAAGAATCAGCAGGCCCCCTAGCCCAAAACAAAGGCTTCTTTCCCAGGAGTTCCTACCCTGAAAAACTGAAACAAAACCAAAGCTGCCCTGCCTTGCCGGTCCACCCTGTCTCCAGACTGCCAGCCGGTTCCCCACTCACCGGCGAAGGCCGCCTCAGCCGCGATTTTCCCAGACAGTGTTCTCCCTTTCCCGACCTGGGTATCTCCATAGACAGCTGCTCATGCGCACTTCCAGCCCGCGGCCATGTTGGAGAGGGGCGGAAGTGCCACTCGCGACCCACCCAGTCTTCTCAGAGATTCTGAGCCGCCCCACTTCCGTTCGCTCTGCCTTGACGAGGCCTGAAGGATGCAAAGGTTTGGGCCCAAAAGAAGCCATGACCTGGAGAATATAATTGATATCCTAGCCACTTTGGGCGTGCACGGGATAAAGGCGACTAACTTGTAGTACCATCTTTGTTTTGGATAGGACCTTTTTAGTTACAGAAAAAAGAAGCGAGGGAGTCCGGCTGAGACCAAGGAAGGGACAGCCAACGCAGGTGCCATCTTTAACAAGGGCTACTTGGGAGGCCATCTTGGGTCAGGGAAGCTTTTTCTGAAGCGTTTCTTATTAGCAATTAGTAGGTGTCAGAACATAACACAGATCTTGACATTTCTCCTTGGTTTTAAGTGTCAGCAGGCACTCACCAAAGACCTCAAAGCTTTTAGTTTTGCACAGGCTTACACTTTGTGTGATAGGAATGTTGACTCCCATTCTTCTCAGCCAGGACCTATCCTTAATGGATTTTGAGTAGTGTGGTGTAATGGGAAGAATTCAGACTCTGTGAAAGGGCATATAGTGAGAATAAGATGGAGTTAGTCGGGCAGCGCCTGTGGCTCAGTCAATAGGGCGC